CATCATCATCCTTCTCCTCCTCCTCCTCCCTATCCTATCTATGGTAGTTGTTCTGGAACATGGGCCCATCACTGGAGGGGCTTCGGCTCTCGGGCCGCTCCTCAGATCTTGAGGTATCTTGAGGTCGGGGAGCCTCTTCGTGGCCGAGGCGGCTCGCCGTGGCGAGGGAAGCCCCTGCGTTCGTCATGTCGCGTCTGATGGGCAACTGTTCCACTTCCGCTACCATATGTGGGACGTGGAGAAGGGAGGATGAGGAGGTCCTCCTTCTCCTCCTATTCCTCCTCCTCCCCTTCCTCCTCCTCCTCCTCCTCCACCTTCCTCCCCTCCTCCTCCTCCTTCCTCCCCTCCTCCTCCCTCCTCCTCCTCCTCCTCCTCCCTCCTCCGCCTCCTCCTCCTCCTCCTCCTCCTCCTCCCCTCCTCCTCCTCCTCCCCCTCCCCCTCCCCCTCCCCATCCCCCTATATTCCTCCTCGCTCCCCTCCCCCTTCTCCCCTCCTCCACCTCCTTCTCCCTCCTCCCCATCCTCCTCCCACCACCACCTCCTCCACCTCCTCTCCTCCCCCTCCTCCACCTCACTCCTCCTCCTCTTATCTCCTTCACTCCATCTCCCTCCTCCTCCTCCTCCTCCTCCTTCCTCCTCCTCCATCCTCCTCCTCCTCCTCCACCTCCTCCTCACCCCTCACCCTCCCCCCTCCCTTTTCTCCTTCAATTCCTACCTCCTCCACCTCCTCCTCCTCCACCTCCTCCTCCTCCACCTCCTCCTCCTCCTCCTCTCCTCCACTCCTCCACCTTTTCCTCCTTTTCCTACCTACCTCTCCTGCTCCTCCTCCACCTTCTCCTTCCTTTTCCTCCTTCTCCTGCTCCTCCTCCTCCTTCTCCTCCTCCTCCTCCTCCTCCCCTCTCCTACCTATGTTAGTGGTTGTGGACAATGGGCCCATCACTGGAGGGGCGCTGGTTCTCGCGACGCTCCTCAGATCTATAGGCCGGGGAGCCTAGTCGAGGACGAGGCGGTTCGCCGTGGCGAGGACAGCCCTTGCGTTCCTCTCGGTGGTTCAAAGACGGGGCCCTGAGAGATGGGGCGCCAAGTTAGGAAGGGATCCAAGGGTGGACTTACACTGCTTGAGGCACCCCGTCCTTGGGATCCGATCCATTGGGACCCCATCTTTGAGCCACCGAGCCTCCTTTCGCGTCCCTCGTGGTAGCGCGACGAGGAGAGCAGGCACAGGCTCGGGGCCCAGGGATGGGCCTGGCCAGGAATTCGTGCAGGTGCTGGTAGCCGGCGCCCTCCCAGGCCTCCCGTGGCCACCTGTTCGAGCACTTCTGCCGCGAGCAGCTCCGCGGGCACGGCCCGCTCCGGGAGGGCGGCGCGCAGGAGCCGCGGAGGGCGAGGCTCGGGCCCACAGTTGGCCTCGGGGGGGGGGGGCCCTCCCAGACCCCTTCGAGTCGTGGGAAAATCACGGCGGGAGGTGTCGCACAATTTTCGGCCTCTGGGGGCCCTCGCTGGGCCTCGGGGCCGTCGAGCGGCTCCGCGTGAAGACCCGGTCCTGAGGAAGGGTTCGGGACCTCTTGGGGGTCGGCGTGATGAAAACATCACGACGTCGGGGGTCAGGGCTCGTCGCCACGGCTGGGCGCAGCTCGGACAACTGGTGCGCTTGGGCCTGGGGAGGAGGGGTCCGGGGGCCGAAGCTGCGCCGCCTGTCTCCACTCGCCGTGCGCCGGCAGGAGCTGCAGCTCGGCTTCGAGGTGGACTTCGCGCTGCGCCTGCTCGCCGAGGCGCGGGTGGACGCCTTCTTCCCGCCCGGCTTCGCACTCGCCCCGCGCGCGGACGGCGGGCCCGCGGTGCTGCGGCCCGGGGTCGTCCTCTTCGAGGTCATCGGCGGCGAGCGCGGGGGGTAAGTGAGAAGGAGGAGGCCTTCCCAGAAGGCTCGGAAGTCCCCCGGCCTGCTGGGAAGTGTTCTAATGAGCCTTCCCCGAAGGCAGACAAAAACGTCTCAGAAGGCGCGAGGGCTTCCGAGAACCCGCTACCTTCTGAGAAGGCCTTCTCCTTCTCCTTCCCCTCCTCCTCCTCCTCCTCCTCCTCCTCCTCCTCCTCCTCCTCCTCCTCCTTCCTCCTCCTCCTCTCCCCCTCCTCCCCTCCTCCTCCTCCTCCTCCTCCTCCTCCTCCTCCTTTCCTCCTCCTCCTCCTCCTCCTCCTCCTCCTCCTCCTCCTCCTCCTCCTCCTCCTCCTCCTCCTCCCTCTCGCTCGCCGCCGAGGTCAAGCAGAGCCCCGCGGCGGCCGCCTCCCGGGCGGCGGAGCAGCTGGCCTCGCGCCTTCGCCGGCTGCCGGGAGGCGAGGCGGCTGCCAGCGCGGTGGTCGTCATCACCTCCACCTGATGGGCCTGTCTTCCACCACCACCACCACCACCACCACCACCACCACCACCACCACCACCACCATAAGTTATAGGGAGAGGGGGTCCTCCTCCTCCTCCTTCTCCTCCTCCTCTTCCTCCTCCTCCTTCTCGTCCTCCTCCTAATCGTTCTCCACCTCCTTTCCCCCCCTCCAGCTTATGGTGGTGGTGGTGGTGTGGTGGAAAACATGCCCATCACCACCACAGGGGCGGAGGCCGCACGGGAGGACGCAGGGCTCGTTTCGCTTCCTCCGATTCGGTTCGGCTCGACGTCGATGGCCTCCGATTCCGATGCGGTAGCGATTCATTGGCTTACGCCTCACCGCCGACCCCTTGGGGCGGCAGCAAGAGTGAAAGACGGAGTTCGCGGAACGCGCGCGATCGCTGGGTAATCTTGGGGCTTCGGCCTGTCTTACGTAGCGTGTCGGGTTCAAGGGGGGCCCTTGTAGGGGATTGTTTTGAAGTTCTTCGTGGTTTTATGTGGGTTTCTTGGGGCCTTCGCGGGGCCTGTCCCAGGCCTCCTTTAGGCTCGGTCGTTGAGACCCAGCTGGGGGTGCGTCCAGCCAGAAGTTCGAGAGTGGACCCAGCTGTATCGACGAGGAGCTTCCTGAAGGCCCAGAGGGGGCGGAGAACGCCCAAGAACTAGGAGTCTCATGCCTCGAGCCTCGATCCACCCCGTGTTCCTTCCTTTGCGAAGGGGAGGCACCAGCCAGGGAGGTCGATCCTGACATCGGCGGCGAACTCGAAATCTGATTATTTGTTTTTCCTCTTCCTCTTCCTCCTCCTCCTCCTCTTCCTCCTCCTCGCCCTTCGCTCCTTCTTCTTCTTCTCGATCGAGGTAGATGCCCGCGGCAGTTCCGGCCGCCTTTCCAGAGATTTTTGTTTGATTCGCTTTTGTTTTTGAAAGGTTTCGGTCTCTGGGGGGCGTTGCTGGGCCCCAGGACTTTCGAAACCGGACGCACTTGGGGCGAGAAATTGCGTTAGCGGCCCGGGGGTGGGCTCGTGGAACGAATTTGTGCGAAGTAGCCCGTCGGACTCGAGAGATTTGTTGTGGTTGGGGGGGGGGTCCGGGCCCCTCCCCTGTCGCCGCGGCCGGATGCATTTGGGAAAGCGATTGAGACTGGATTCCGGGAAGGGTCCGGGGGGCCCATGGTGAACGATTTTTGCTTGGCGAAAAGAAAAGAATTTTGTTGCAGAGTCTTAGGCGTTGCAGTTTTTTCGTGGTTTTTGTCGTCGAAGGGCCGCCTCTGGGTCCCGTGGTCGTTCGGGGGCAATGAGGATCCCCGTTAGGGTCTCTTGGGTGCGTTCAGGCGCCCTTTTCATGTTTTCTCGGCGCGAGGTGCTCGAATTCTCCATTCGGGTCTGCCTTCTGACCCTCCTCTTGGGGCCGTCCTGGGGCTCTCCCTGGTGGCTATGGGGGCCCTGTTGGGGCCAGTTTGTCCCGTCTGGGACCCTTCTTGGGGGCATGCGGGAGCTTTTGGGTTGACCTGGGGGGCTTTTTGGGCTGCTGTGGGAAGCGAATGTACATAGACGTTTCCCTTCGGGAAATGGGCCGAGGTTTGGTTATGCCGGGCCCTTGGGACGCGTCCTGGTGGCCTATTGGGGCGTCCAAAAGGCCTCAGGGGTCAGCTGGAAGCAGTGGCGGGCGTCTGGGAGCGATGTCCTCACGAGTCGTAGTTGGCGCTCTGAGGCTGTCGGGGGAGCCTTGTGGGACCTATTTTGCGATTTTTGGGGGGCCGTCCTGGGTCGGTTTGGCGGGTTCTGGTGCCTATTGGCGCCCATTTCTGGGGTCGTATTGGGTCAATCTGGAAAGCTTCTTGGGCTGTTGTGGGCCTCGTGAAAGCCGGAGAGGCGAACGTGCTGGAAATGTATGTTGTCCGTAAAAAATGGATCGCTTTTTACTTCTGGAGAGCCTCTAAGGGACGTCTCCGGGCGGTTTCTCAGGGCGCATCGGGGGCCTGCAGGACCGCTGGGAGGCAATCTGGAGCGTTTTGGAGCGATCTCTCGACGACTCGTAGCCCTCGTGGGCCGTCCAGGAGGCCTTTGGGGATCCTCTTGGCTTATTTTGGAGCCCTCTTGAGGCCGTCCTGCGGATCTCCTGGCCCGTTGCGGTTGTTTCTGGGGCCTTCGCGGGGCCCTCGCTGGCCGTCTTGGAGCCTTTTTGGGAGCCTCTTGGGTTATCTGGGGTCGTTCTTGGACGCTTCTTGGGCCGTTGTGGGCCTCGTGAAAGGCCAAGAGGCGAGTGTGTCCTGCCTCTGGCTGAGACGCGACCATACCAAATGTTTCCTCTCCGGAGGCCGGTGGCACGCGGTGTCCCGCCGGTGTCCCGCCGGTGTCCCGCCGGTGTCCCGTCGGTGTCCCGATGATGATGATGATGATGATGATGATGATGATGATGATGATGATGATGATGATGATGATGATGATGATGATGATGATGATGATGATGATGATGATGATCATGCTGATGATGATGATGTTGATGATGATGATGATTATGATGATGATGATGCTGATGATGATGATATCGATGATGTTGATGATGATGATGATGGCGATGGTGGTGATGATAATGGTGTCCCGATGATGCTGATGATGATGGTGATGATGATGATGATGATGATGTTGACGATGACGATGATGATGATGATGATGATGATGGTGGTGATGCTGATAGCCATGGTGGTGATGATGTTGGTGTCCCGATGACGATGATGCTGATGCTGCTGATGATGATGATGGTGTCCCGATGATGATGGTGTTGGTGATCCTGATGATGTTGATGATGATGAGATGATGGGATGATGATGATGATGGTGTCCCGAGGAAGATGGAGATGCTGATGTTGATGATGATGCTCTTTGTTGTTGATGATGATGATGGTGTGATGATGATGATGCTGTTGATGCTGATGATGACGATGTTGGTGTCCCGATGATGATGATGTTGATGATGAGGATGATGATGAGGTGATGACGATGATTTTGACGATTGTGACCCGATGATGATGATGATGATGATGATGATGATGATGATGATGATGATGCTGATGCTGATGTTGATGATGATGATGGTGTCCAGATGATGATGATGATGGAGATGATAATGATGGTGACGATGATGATGGTGTCCCGATGATGATGATGACGATGTTCATCATGTTGATGTTGCTGGTGTCCCGATGACTCTGATGTTCATGATTTTGTGCATGATGGTGATGATGGGATGATGATGGTGTTCCGATGCTGATGATGATGGTGTCCCGGTTATGATGATATTGATGATGATGATGATGATGATGGTGACGATGATGGTGTCCCGATGGTGATGATGATGATGATGATGATGATGATGATGATGATGATGATGATGGTGATGGTGATGGTGATGGTGATGGTGATGATGATGATGATGATGCTGTCCCGATGGTGATGATGCTGATGATGATAATGATTTTGATGATGTTGGTGACGATGATGTTGATGATGAGGATGATGACGTTGATTGTGAGATCGATTGTGATATTGATACTGAGATCGATAGTGACACCGAATGTGAGATCGATTGTGTGATCGATAGTAATATCGGTACTTACATCGATTGTGAGATCGATAGTCAGATCGATTGTGAGATCGACCGAATGAAATAGATCGAGTGAGATCGATTGTAAGATCGATCGAGTGCAATCGATCGAGCGAGACCGATCGTGAGATCGATAGTGAGACCGATACTGAGACCGATCGAGTGAGACGTTGGTTCCTCCCCCCCCGAACCTCCTTATCACCCGTAGGGTGGTCGTATAGGTATATGTTTTGTCCGTCGGGAATGGGGCGGTTTTTGATTCTGGAAGGCATCTTGGGGCTTCTTGGGGCGTCTTGGGGGCTTTTGGCGTCTGGAGGCAATCTTCGGCGTTGTGGAACGATCCTTCGTCGTCTCGTAGCTCTCTTGGACCGTTCCGGGAGCCTTTTGGATATTTTTGGATCGTTTTGGGGCCCCTTAAGGTTCCAAGTGTGCGTCCGGCACCTCCACCCCCCACCCCACACCCCTTGGGGGAGCCCTTTGGGGCCGTCGGGGGAGCCCTTTGGGGCCGTCCTGGGGCCGTCCTCGGTTGCTGCGGGGGCCTTGGGCGAAGGCAGATGGGGTTTCCTTGAACTGATTTGGGGGCTTCTTGGGTTGCTGCGGACCTCGTGAAAGGCCTAGAAGCGAACGTGCTAAACTTGGACGTTTCCCTTAGGGAACGGGCCGATGTTGGCTTCTGGAGGGCTTCTTGGGCCGCGTTCTGGGCACGCAAGGGGTCTCAGGGGCCGCGTGGAAGGCCAAGAGGCGAACGTGTTGGAAAGATATGCTTTCCATCGAGTATGGGACGGTCGTTGCTTCTGGAAGGTTTTTGGGACGCCTCTGGGTAGCGTCTTGAGGCGTCTTGGGGGCCTGTAGGGCTGTCGGGAGGCCAGGTTGGACGACTTGGTGCGTTGTTGAACGATTTGGGCCGACCAGGAGGCCTTTTTAAGAACCCTCTTCGCCCGTCTTGGGCCCTCTTGGGACCGTTTTGCACTTCTCCAGAGCCGTTGCTATGGTTTCTGGGGCCTTCGTGCCGCCAAGAGGCAGTCTTGGAACCCTCTTGAAAGCATATGGGGCTTGAGGGGGTCGATGTTGGATGCTTTGTGGGCCTTTGTAGGCCTCGTGGAAGTCCAAGAGGCTGCCGAAAGTGAATGTTTTCCCTGGGGAATGGGACGATTTGTGCTTGTGGAGGCCTTCGTGGAGCGCCTCGTAGTAGTTTTTTCACACGTCTCGGGGGCCTATGGGGAACCGTCTGCAGGCAAGCTGGGGCGGTTTGGACCGAATGGTCCTCCTCGCGGGCCGTCCAGAAGCCCTTTGGGGACACTGTTGGCCCGTTGTGGAGCTTTCGTGGGACCGTCCTCCGACAGTCCTGGGCCGTTGCTGCGGTTTCTGAGGCTTTCGTGGTGTGCCCGGAAGCCGCCGAGGAGCCTTTTTGAAAGCCTCTTGGGGTGTCGGGGGTCGGAATTGGAGGTTTACTATGCCGTTGTAGGCCTCGTGGAGCCCCAAGAGGCGAATGTAATATAAATGTATGTATTCCCACAGAAGATGAAGCCGTTTTTGCTTCTGGAGGCCCTCGTGGAGCGCCTCGTGGGCGCGTTTCAAACGTCTTGGGGGCCTATGGGGCCGTTTGGGAGCAATCTTGGGCGTTTTGGACCGAATCGTCCCCCGCGTGGGCCGTCTGGGCAGCCTTTGGGGACCCTGTTAGCCCGTTTGGGAGCCCTTTTGGCACCGTCCTGCGGCTCTCCCAGGCCGCTGTTGTGGCTACTATAGCCTTCGCGGATCGTCTGGCAGCCGTCGTGGAGCCTTTTGGGGAGCCTCTTGGGCTGCAGAGGGTCGATCTTGGAGGCTTTGTGGGCCGCTGTGGGCAGCGTGGAGGCCCAAAAGGCGAATGTGCTGGAATGGGGCGGTTTCTGCTTCTGGGGGGCCTGCGCGGGCCGTCCCGTAGCACTTTTTCCATAGCCTTGGGGGCTGATAGGGGCCGTCTGGAGGCAATCTCCGGCGTTCTGGAGTGATCTCTCGTCGCCTCGTAGCTCTCTTGGACCGTTCTGCGGCCCTTTTGAGTCTTTTTGGCCCGCCGTTTTGGGGCCTCCTGAGGCTCCAAGCGCGCGGCCTACACCTTTGCCCCCCCCCCCCCCTCCCCCCTCCCTTGGGGAGGGGGAAGCATCTCACACGCTCACACGCCGTCTCCGAGCGTGCGGCCGACACCTTTGCTCCCCCCCCCCCGGGGGAGGGGTTTGGAGAGGGGGAAGCATCTCACACGCCGTGACCCCAAGGGGTCGACGGATGTGAGGTTCCGGTTGGGGCTCCGAGTTCTTATGGGAGACCTGCTGGCCTGCCGATTTCTGCCGATTCGACTTCTTCCGGCTCCGCTGCCGATCTCCGCCGATCCGAGTCATGTCGATTTCCGATCCGACTGGTCGATCCGAGTCTGGGTTCTCGTGACGGGAGGACGGGGCGGCGCTCGCTCGGCTGCGCGAGGGCGTGCAGCAGCGGCTCGCCTCGATGGGCGTCCAGGTCCCGCTGCTGGCGGCCAGCACGAGCTTCAACGAGAGCGCCTGGGCGGAGCGGGTGGTAGCCCGGCTGGAGGGAGGCCCGAAGGGGCAACGACCGCCCTCCCCATTCCCTCGATCCCCTGGGATCCTGGCGATGCATGCTCTGCGCAGCGAGCGTTTCCGCCCCGTTTCCGGGCTAGGGGTCCCTCACAGATCGACCTTCCCGGAACACGACGCCGAAAGATGGGGCCCAGGGCTCTGAATGGTCCGGATTTTTCTCAGGAGGGACAAAAGCACACAGACACAATTCATCGTCGATTCCCCAGAAAATATGGGAAAATATGGGAAGTGGGGGGGAAGACCAACAAAAAACCCAAGAATAGTATCCCAGTGCGACCCTACCTAGGAGTTGGAGCCCCTAGGAAAGCAGCATTAGTAGTAACAGTAAAGCTAAGCTAAAGCTAAGCTACAGCTAAGCTAAAGCTAAGCTAAAGCTAAGCTAAAGCTAAGCTAAAGCTAAGCTAAAGCGAAGCTAAATCTAAGCTAAAGCTGAGCTACAGCTGAGCTACAGCTAAGCTAAAGCTAAGCTAAAGCTAAAACTAAAATGAAGCTAAGCTAAATCTAAGCTACAGCTAAGCTAACGCTAAGCTAAGGCTAAGCTGAAGCTAAGCTAAAGCTAAGCCAACGCTAAACTAAAGCTAAGCTAAAGCTAGCTAAAGCTAAGCTAAAGCTAAGCTAAAGCTCAGCTAAAGCTAAGCTAAAGCTAAGCTACAGTTAAGCTAAAGTTAAGCTAAAGCTAAGCTAAAGCTAAGCTAAAGCTAAGCTAAAGCTAAAGCCCCCAGGGGACTGGGGGAACCGCGGGGCGGGGACTGGGGGAACCGCCCGGGGCGCTTTCCACTGCCCGGCCCCTTTAAGCTAAGAGAGTAAGAACCCTTCTGGGCAGAGCCTAGGTAGGGAATATGGGGAAATGTTGGGAATCCTGTTATGTACGTGTATTCATTTGTGTGTCCCAGGACCCCTTCATTTTCATGATGTTCCAGTGTTTCGGGGGTCGGGCGCGGGCGGGCGGGGTGAGGATCGAGGCGGTCGCTGTCGCCCGCATCGGCAACACCAGGGCGTGCCCATGCCATGCTTGCGCTGGCCCCCCCCCTAAGGGCGACGCGCCCGCTCGCAAGTCTCACGGTGTGCGCTCGGTGGCGGGCGCTCTCTGGCGTTATGCCACCTGCAGGCAACGATACACACGAGTTACGTTGGATAGTGTGCTAATTACTCAAACCTCCAACGCATTGAACAAAATCAAGACGGAGTTTTTTTTTCGATTTTCGGCCTCTAGAGGCTCTCGCCGGGCCCCGGGACCGTCAAAAAACGACGCAGGATGGAAAACCGGTCCTGGGGAATGGGTCGAGACTTCCGAGGACCCCGTATTGACAAAAATCACGACTCGGATCTTTGGGTAATGTGCTACCGGTTCGGACGTGTGCATCCAAGGGGTGCGCATCCTACTGCTTACTCCTAGCGTCCCATGGTAGGGGGTTGGGCCAGGTTTCTGTTCGACCGCCGCCTTCGATCCCAGCCGCCAGGCCTTGCGGCCTGTCCCATGCTCATTTTTGCTCGGCGTGCTCCCTGTGCAGGAGGAGACGCTGTGCCTCTCGGAACTGGCGCGCGCAGGGCCAGCGCCAGCCTGCAGCGCGGCGGCCGCGCCCCCGCGCACGCCGCGCCCCCCGCGCCGCACGAGCTCGCCGGGCGCGAAGCGCCCGCCGGGCCCGAGCTGCCACAGCAGCCTGCAGGGCCCGAGGCGCTGGCGCGGATGCCGTTGGGGGAGCCGGCCGCGCCGCCGCAGGCGCGCGGCCGCCCCTCGCAGCCCAGCAGGCAGGGCAGCCGCCGCCGGCCCCGCGAGCGGCGGGGCCAGCGCGGCAGCGGCGCAGCGGGCGACGCGAGGCCTCCGCCCGGCAGCGCGCCCCCTGCCGTGGCGGGCGCGGGCGCGCCCCGCGCGCGAGCCCCGCGGCGGCCGTCGCGCGAGCCCGCCCGGCGCCGGCCCGCCGCCGGCGGGCCCGGCGGCCGCCGGCAGGCCCACGTCCGAGCCGCCAGTCGTGGCGACGGGGTCCGGCGCCGCGCTGGAGGCGGAGGGCCCCGCGGTGGTGGGCGCGGGGCCCGCGGCGCGGTGGGGCGCGCCGCCGCGCTGGCTGCCCTGCGGCAGGCCCTGCTGCACGCACTTCCACTGGCCCGACCTCGCCTCGGGCGCGGCGCGCGGGGAGTGCCCGCGGCTCGCGGCCGGGGCCGCCTGCGGGGGCTGCCACTGCGGGCGGCACCTGTGGCCGCTGGGGGACGCCACGCGCGGGGCGGCCGCCGCGGCCTCCGCCTCGCTGCTCGTGTGGCTGCTGGGCCCCGTCGCGGAGCCCGCGGTCGGCGCCGCGGCCTGCGAAGGCGTGGCGGTGGTCGCCTCATCGGCGCACGGGGCCGTGGCCGCCGTGGCCGCGAATTGGCGCGTTCCGCTGGGCGCGGCCGAGGTGCCTTGGGGGGGGGGGGTCGAAGTCGAAGAAGAAAACAGTACATGAACACATACAAACTGTCGGAGCTCCGCGCGAGTTTCTTGGATCGGCTTTGGGACCGCCTGGCGGCGCCTCCGGCGCCGCTCCTGGGGCGCTCCGCGCGCCAGGGAGGGGCCGATCCAAGAAACTCGCGCGGACCTCCGAACGTTCCTGTTTATGCGTTTTCCTGCACAAAAGCATGCCCTCCCTGCCTCACCCCACTTCCTCCTCGTCATCTTCCTTTTGCATCCTCCTCATTCTTCACTCGGACGAGGGCCAGTCGAGACATCGGCTGCATTCCTTGGCGTTTTCTCTTCTGCTACTTCCTGGAGGCTTCTCGTCGCCATGGCTGGATCCGCCTCGAAAAGCAGATCTGGATGGACACCGGGAGGTCTGGGCGGGAGAACCGTTGTTGTCTCAATTGGCCCTGATCCGATTAACTCTGAGCTGACGTTGCGCCCACGAGGAGCATGCCGTGTCCGCTCGGCGTGAGCTGAATTGATGCGAGCGGCAGGATTATTGTTTACGCCAGAACATCCAGAAAAGATTCCCAGGCGAGGTGTCGTGAGGATGAGCATTCGTGAAGCAGAGAGGGGGGGGGGGGGCACAGGTCAAAACAAAGCGAGGTTCAGCCCGAGTGGCTCCCCACGATGGCCACTTTTGGGCCTCTGCTAGCCTCTTGGCGTCAACCTGGGGCTCTGGTGGGGCCCTCTCGGGGCAGTCGTGGGGCTCTCAAGGGCCCTGGGAGTCATTCTTGCGACATCTGAAGGCCACCGCCCCAAAAAAGCGGAGCCCCTTACAATAGCGAGGTTGGCAGTCGTGATTTCCATATATGCTGTAGGTACGTCAAGTTGAGAATAACGGTCATGAACGATTGCGAAGCGTTAAGTCGGGCCTGTCCCCTTACAGAAGGAACATGCAAACATAAAACATAATATTGTGACGATTTGCTTATGACGATTTGTTTGACCATTTGGGGCGATTTTTGGAATAGGTTTTGGCAATGTTTTAGTTTTCGTCCAAAATCCGCCTGTATAGGGGGACATGCCCGACCTAAGCTCAGCGCGTCGCGCCGCAGGGTCTGGCCCACCACGATTCGGCGCGACGCACCAGGCACGACCCGGCCCCCAGTCCTCACCGCTTCGAGCCTTCCCCAGCCTCCCGTCCCGCGAAGCAGAGCGACACGCCAGAAGCTCGCAAGGGACAGCGCGTCGCATTTCCTCACCGAATTTGGAGGAACGAAACATGACATGAACGTAAAAACTCTGAGATCCGCGCGGATTTCTCGGATCGCCGCTGGGGCCCCTGGCGGTGCCTCTGGCGCCCCCTGGCGCGCTCCGCGCGCCACGGAGGGGGCCCAGCGCGGATCCAAGAAATCCGCGCGGACCTCCGAGTTTTTATGTTTATGTAATTTTTCGTTCCCCCATATGTTCCGTCTGTGGCACCAGCCGTTGTTGCGCCTTGGTTCTTGACAGAAGGGCTGCGGCGGCGGGCCTCCACGTTGCTTTCGTTCGGATGACCCTGAGATCTAGGGCGAAGTCACGATCAGAGCCCTATACCCCATCTTTCTGCTTTTTGCATGTCCGGCCCGGATCGATCCGTGATGCTTTCGGGGCCCAGAATTGGGCGAACACATCCAGGGTGAAACAAATGCAACGCCCAGATCTCCGGGGACGCTGATATTGGGCAGGATCTCGCTGTCGGGGCGCTCGTGCGGCACCATTCGGCACTTTGGTTTTTTGGCAGGCCTTTCGGCCGACCGCGGGGAGCCATGTGGCGACGAGGCGTCCTGCAAGTGCGCGCCAGAACGATGGCGACTCAGCTGCAAGTCGGCTGCCCGAACAGCCGTCCCAGGCATGCTCGTGTCGTGAACAAAAAGCACGACGGGAGATTTCTGGCCGTCCTCGGCCTCTGGGGGCCCTCGCCGGGCCCCGTGGACAGGGAACAAACACGGCTTGGGACGGAAAAGCGGAACTGGGCGAGACCTCCGGGGATCCACGCTGCTGAGGAATCACGACGTCGGGGGGTGGCCTGGGGGCTTCGCTGCGAATCGGTGCCCCGAGCAGCCGCTGGAGATTCGCAGGGCCGGTGGCCCGATCCCGACGCGCTCCGCGGTGCCAGGCTGACGGCAGGGGCTCGTGCTCTGGCAAGCGGTCGTCAGCGCTGGCGAAGTGCTGCCCCGGCTGCCCCTGGACTGGGGCAGTGCGTTGTCTGTCCCATTTCTCCTCCTCCTCCTCGTCCTCCCCCTCGTCCTCCTCTTCCTCCTCCTCCTCCTCCTCCTCCTCCTCCTCCTCCTCCTCCTCCTCCTCCTCCTCCTCCTCCCTCCCCCTCGTCCTCTTCCTCATCCTCCTCCTCCTCCTCCTCCTCCTCCTCCTCCTCCTGATCCACAGTGCAGGTTTAGCACATGCGTTCTGCTTGTCGCATCGCTATGTGCTCGCGATCTCATCGCTGTGTTACCATGGACCTGGCGGTGCACATAATCATACATCCAGCGGTTCCTGCTCATACCGAGGCGATGTTAGCTTTTCTTGCTTATATCTGGGATCCTCTGGTGCCGCAGCATCACGTGGACGATGGGCCATGGATAGTGTTAGTGCAGGTACCTGATGGGACAGCCTTCATGGCCCGGCGTCGTTTACTGTGGCTATGATGTTGCGTCTGGGGTGGGGGCTTCCAGTCCACCACGCTGTGGATCAACCTGCAGAGCTTGCACAGTGATAGTTCTACAACTGCACCTCGTGATGTCGAAAAGATGGTTGCGTGAGACGCGGACGTATGGGGATGACAGCAAACATCTCCTCACCACCCTGTGCTTGCCCACCTCTCTGGACCACCTTCTTTACGTCCACTTCGCAATGAAGTCAGAATGTGTACGCCTTCGTTGGGGAGTCTTTTGTGGCACTCAGATCTGCCATCGCCGGGGCAGTGCATTTAGCCAGCCCCTGTGCTTTCTGAGGAGCCGCCCATGCTGGTGAAGTTTCTGCTATGCGGCACCTTATTTGGGATTGTGATGGCACGCCGTCTGATCGACAAGCTTATGGCACGCCAGCTCGCGTCGAACGCGTTGAAGCGAGCTTCCCTTCTGATCCACCCTGGTACTCTGCCTTGGGCTCCCGACCCAGAACGGCTGTTGCCACGTCCAGCTATGGAGTTTGACGTCCTTGGGCTCTTCTTGGGTGACCTCCAGGCTGCTCCTCGACTCACGTCTCCTGTGTTTGGTGACGGTTCTGGTCTCTATGACCTTTCACCTAGAGCATTGCGTTGCGGCTTCTCCGCAGTAGCAGTAGGAACATCTGGCGAGGCGCGAGTGGCCGCCTGCATACGGTGCATACCCTTGTGCTCAATGTGTGCTTGGTGCTGAAATTTTGGCGCTGCCAGATGTCCTCTTGCGGGCCATACCAGGTTCACGTGGTAAATCTGTTCATTGCAACGATGTCCAGTGGGTGGTTGATTCGTGATTCGCTCCGTCTTCTCGCGTTGTCCCGTGTTGGAGCCCTATTCGGGCATCTGGGCTCGCATCCACGCGAAAGCTGGCGACCTTGCTTCACAGAAGGTGAAGGATCACCCCACTGTCTCTTCCCCTGCGCAGGCCACCTGGCTAACAACGGGGAGCGATCGTGCCGATAGGTTTCCCGAGCTGAGTGCTCGACGCCGTCCTGTTGGTGCAAGCGGCAGTGGAACGACTGAGCAAGTCGCGTATTGCAGAAGAGCATGTCGGCAAACGGCGATCTGCCGCGCCCAAATAGGACCTTTCGCCCTGCCCAGGTCGCCCTCCCTCCGAGCTTGGCCTCCCGGCGGCCGGTGGCATGCCGCCCGCGGGGGTGCCGCACGAGCTGGCCTGGGATCATCCCGTGCAGTGCTTTGGGCGCACAGCCTGCTGGGCCTCCAGCCATTGTAACTTGTCCAGGGCCCAGCGTCTGGCCCCCCATGGGTTCGGCCATGTAGTCATGCGTACTGGCAGGTATGTATTCTGCAAGGTCTGCGGTTCGCATCCGCCCACAGCTTTGGGGCATGTCCACAGACGGTGCAACAGGCGCCCAGAGTCCACCGCCGCCAAGTACAGGCTTGGTAACTTGATGCAGGGACCGGACCCCAAGAGCAAACAGTCCACAGGAGCTGTGCTGCCAGCACTGACGCGGATTATGACAGTTGTGTCTCCTAGGCTGGCTTGGGTCCCCCATCTCGTCCCATAGTGGTTTCTGTTGGGGAGACGCGGCGCATTTAACTCAGCAGCGAAATGGTATAACGTGCAGCCTCTGCTTCTATGCGAAGCACGGTTGAAGGAAGCCGACAATTTTCAATCATCTGCTCTGGATTACGGCTACGTTTGCAGGACAGCGGTTCGAGGTAGCCGGCAAAAATATAGTTTAGGGTGGTTCTCCAGTCGCTCGGCCGCCAGCGCACAGTAAAGACGGTATCTTGGTACATTATGTCGGGGCCAATGGTGCAGCAAGATGTGCGCGACCGAGCCGTATGTATACGCCGGACCAGGCCGAGTATCGGCCATGTTACGGGGACAATCTACCACGTTCGCCATGATAATATGTCGTGCAGCAGCTCTAGTAGGTTGAATTTGAGATGCAATGTCTTCCTCACGTGCTGCCCTAGGGGGAGAGTGGTCGAATGTGGTTTCGCTCCTCCCCTAGCCAGTACCCCTTGCACTGTGGAGCGTCCGGCGTCCTCTATGGCGTTCTGATTGTTCGGTCTGCCTTGTGGCCCTTGGCACTCGCTTGTTAGAAACCCGCCCAGGGCTTGCGATTCACGCAAAGCGTGATTGCCCCCTCTTCTGCTCTGTGTTCTCTTCTCGTGGACCTGCCTCCTCGAGGGCAGGCCACCGACCCAGTCCTTCTCCTCTTGTAGCGTTGCGCAAACCTAATGTGAAAACCTGTGACGTTCTTAGTCCTCCTTCTCCTCCTCCTCCTCCTCCTCCTCCTCCTTCTCCTCCTCCTCCTCCTCCTTCTCCCCGTCCTCCTCCTCCTTCTCCTCCTCCTCCTCATCCACACTGCAGATTCGGCGCACACGTTCTGCTCCTCCTCCTCCTCCTCCTCCTCCCCCTCTTTCCGCTCCAGGACGCCTCCTCCTCTTTCTCCCCTTGTTTCTCCTGCTCCCTATGTATATATCTATATACATCTCTCTCTCTCTCTCTCCACCTCCTGCTCCTTCTCCTCCTCCTTCTCCTCCTCCTTCTCCCCGTCCTCCTCCTCCTCCTCATCCTTCTCCTCCTTCTCTTCCTCCTCCTCCTCCTCCTCCTCCTCCTCCTCCTCCTCTCCTCCCCCCTCCTCCTTCTCCTCCTCCTCCTTCTCCTCCTCCTCCTCCTCCTCCTCCTCCCCGTTGTCGTTCTCCTCATCCTCGTCGTCGTCCTCCTCGTTCTCCTTCTCCTCCTCCTCCTCCTCCTCCTTCTCGTCGTCGTCCTCCTCCTCCTCCTCCTTCTCCTCTTCCTTCTCCCATTTCTCCATCTCCTTCTACCCCTCCTCCTTCTCTCCTCCTCCTCCTCCTCTTCCTCCTCCTCCTCCTCCTCTTCCTCCTCCTCTTCCTCTTTCTCTTCCTCCTCCTCCTCCTCGTCCTCTCTATTCGCCTCCTCCTCATCATCTTCCTCCTCCTCCGTTTCTTCCTCTTCTCTCGGCCGTTGTTTTCCTTAGGAGTGGCACCCGCCCAGCATTTGTGAGCTCTGACCTTCGCCGTCGCGTGGGACCGAACCGAACTGACCCTCCTCCTCCCCCTCTTTCCTCTCCCCTCCTGCCAGGGGAGGCGGGGGGCGGGGCGGTAGAGAGAGGTGCAGGCTCCCGCGCGAGGTGCTGCTGCCGCAGCCGAGACTCCGCAGCGCCGGGCTCCTGTGCGACCTGGTGGCGAAACCCACCGAGAGTTCCTTCTACCTCTGCCATAAGAAGGACAGGTAAGGCTTAGGGCTGCGCAGAGACAGCACCCTCAGGTACAGCCAAGACGCTGGCAGAAGGACCGCTGAGGGTTCGGAAACGACTCGCTGTTCCTTAGGTCACTCCGTGGTTGTTCCTCTAGCTCTCCTCGTTCACCCAGGTGTGTTCTTGATGCCACACAGGGGCTTCGTTCCATCTGTAGCGTCCCTTCTGACAGCAGCTTGGCTGTAGTCCCAGCTGGCCTCGACAGGCCCCCCGAGTAGCCCGCGCGATCTCAACACCCTGACGGCGCCTCCAGCGGCGCCCTGGGGGCGCTCATGGCTGGGGCGCTGAGGCCGCTCTGGGCTGCTTGGGGAGCCCGTTGAGGCCAGCCGGGGCTGCTCGGGGCTCGGGAGAGCTGTGGAGGCTTGCCAGTGCTACACATTGTGCATTCCTAAGTATTCCGAAGTTCTTTTTTTTGGGGGGGGGCCAAGATCCTTTGACTTCTAATCGTTTTATCCTGGACCTCTTCCTGGCCACTGGGCGGCCAGGAACACTCAGAAACGAGCACAACTGGAGAGGAGCACGACTGGAAACGAGCGACGTGTACCTTCGGGGCTGTCTGTGCGCAGCCCGAAGCCTTACCGAGAAGAACCGCGTGCCTCAAAGGCGGAGGATGCCGTCGGCCTCCGTCGAGCCCCTCGCTGCCATCTGAGGCGGTGGCGGGGCTTCGGGAGTGAAGGTTCGAGCTGCGTCGAGGTTCGGAGTGGAGGGGCCGTGGGAGGCAACCGGGGCCGAGGGTGCCCACGGGGGCGGGTCCACCACCAAATTACCCCCCCCCAGTTGGGGATACACCCCTCGAAACCCAAAGGGCACGACCTACATACATCCCCATCTGGGGGCCATCTGGGGGGGGCAAATCGGCCAGTGGGGCCCAGGCCACGCCGCTGGGGATGGGGATCGGTTGAACGATACTCGAAGGACGTCCGCGACATGCAGCAGGAGTACCTCCAGCTGCTCCATGCGGGTCTGCTTGGAGCTACGCTTGAATTGTGTGTTCGGGCTCTGACGGGGCATGTTTGGGTCTGTAGGAGTTGGTCTGGTCAGCTTTTCGTGCGTTCTCAGGGCGTTTGGAGTCTCTCCTGGGAATTCTGAAGGGCATGTGGGGCACTCGGGGTGCACCATTTTCCCTGAATGCGCCGTCTGATATTACTCTTGGGGATGTCGTGGGATCCCCTGTGGGCCCTGGACGAACCTGTGTGATAGTTCAGAAAATTGGTGTGTATTCGGGTCCTCTTGGGGTCCAGTAGGGGCATGTGGGGTACAGTAGGAGCTCGACCACAAAAGGCCTTCCACAAGACATCCAAGCCTGAGACCCCAGGGCGTCCATTGATTCTTGGTGTGGAGGCGTCACCCTTTCCATTGCAAAACCATCTAAGCCGAAGAAACCCAGGGCACCCTGGACACCAGCAGGGTGTTTCTTGGCATGGGTCTCCAATGTATAGCGTAATGCGGCCGCGGTCATTTCGAAGCCCGTTTTAGGGGGCCAATGGTTTTTCTTTCCGATAATTCTGACGACATCGGCTCGAACGAAAGGTATTACCCAGACACTCAGAGCATTCATAAAGTCGATTGCGCGGTTAACTGCAGACTATCAGGGGCGAGGTCCTTGCTCCCACCTGGCATCATGGGGCCGCGATGACCGTGAGGAGCTCGCACCAAACACGGGGAAAGGACAATCAGGGCGCCAGAGATGGGGGCACAGCAAACGGTGGCACGGGGAGCGCCGATCTCCTTTTTTGGCTGTGCCCCCCCCCCCCGTTTGCGGGTCCCTGGGCGCCGCAGATGGGGGCACAGTACACGGTGCCACACGGAGAAACCAGAGCCCCCGTTTGGCGAAACCCCGCTTGCGAAGCCCCGAGGCAGGGCGGCCAGCGCGGAGGGACCGCGAGCTCGCACCGAAAACTCAAAGACCACTGGGCTGTTCTTTCCAGCCTCGGGATGCCTCACCTCTTGGAGGTGCTCGTGGGAGGAGGTGCAGCAGCAGCAGCAGCAGCAGGAAGAGGGAGCCGGGGGGGGGGGAAGGACGAGGAGGACGAGGGAAAGGAGGAGGAGGAGGAGGAGCAGGGGGAGCAGGAGGAGGAGGAGGAGGAGGAGGAGGAGGAGAAGGCAGTCCTGCAGAGATCCTGACCACTGGAAGCCCTCTGGAGAGGGGGGCCTCGCGCGCCTGCGGCGCGCCTCTCGCCCCCCCCGGGGGCCGCACCCATGAGAGAGTGGCGGCGGGCCTGCCGGCGGAAGGCCGGCGGAAGCAGCAGCGCGGAGTCGGGAGGGAGCAAAAAAAAGACACGCAGGGAAATATCGGGGGAGCGTAAGACCCGGGTTTGCCAGGACTCGGGTTCGCCATCGTTTTTTGACGACCGCGCCTCGGATTTTGGCGAGGAGGAGTTTCGCGGGATGTCTGCAACGGGAGGCCTCGTCAAAATGCAGGCTCGGCCTCGTCATTTTTTTGACGACCTCGTCGGGGATTTCCGAGCCCCCTGTACCCAGGTCTTACGTCCCCCTGAAAATAGGGGGAAAGATGGGAAGTGGGGGAAGGCAAAAGCCCCCCAAATAGGGGGGATCCTGTTACGTGTGTCTACTCATTCGTGGGTGCCCAGGGGGCCCCCTCAGTTCAGTCGGGCGTGTCCCTCTTCAGCCACGTGCAGAGGGGGGCTTAGGAGGAGGGGGGAGGGCTTCTTGGAAGCACCCCTGCTTCTTAGAAGGCGCGGGCCTTGTCTATAGCTGCAGGGCCGGCGTTTTCTAAGAAGCAGTCTCCTTTTCAGATGCCTTCCTCCCTCCTCCTACCCCCGTGTTCGCGCCGCCAACCTCTGCAGGAGGAGTATTCAAAAATAGACCAAAAATGGTTGGCCATGTTTGAATCGCGTTGGGCTATTTGTTCTCTGTTCTTCCCAAATCCGACTGTAGGCTGAAATGCCCGACCTAATATCAGTGAGGCGTCGACATGCTTGGGTTTCTCAGGGTTGCCGCACCCAGCCAACTATATGTGTAGGAATGTGTGTAACATCTCATATGCAATCGAAGGCGCCTACGGCGAATCACCGCCATGCCCTGCCTTTGAGGGTACGCCTACGGAGCCAAGCGGTCGGGCAAAGTTGGCCACGCCATTGGACCATGCGTTCCCCCAGCCGTTGTGGAAGCTCTTCGGGGAACACGTGGGGGAGGAAGAGGAGGAGGAGGAGGAGGAGGAGGAGGAGGAGGAGGAGGAGGAGGGGAGGAGGAGGAGGCCGAGGAGGAGGAGGAGGAGGAGGAGGTATCTCGGGGCGATCTATCTCGGGGCGATCTTGGGGGCCTCTGGGGCCGTCTCAGGCCGTCGGAAGGCCGACAAGAAACAAATGCCAAATTCCTTGAACAACCAATGGAAATCAAGCATGTTGGCATCTTCGGGCCTTCCTTGAGGACCCCCTTGAGGCCCCTTGGGCCATCTGCGGGGCCTCTTGGACGCTTCTGGGGCGGTCTTGGGCTATCTGGGCTATCTTGGCTGGAGACAGTTTGAGGCCCCTGGGGGGCTGGTTTGGAACCTCTTTTGAACCTCTTCGGGGCTTCTTGTGGGCCTCTTGGGGCCTCCCGGGCACCTCTTGCGGCATAAAGCTCAGAATTTCAGTTCGGGTTCCCCCTCTTGGGCCTCTCTTAAGACCTTCTTGGAGCGTTCTGGGGCCGTCTTGGGCGCCTCGTGGGCCGTCCTGGTACCCTCTTGGGTCGTCGTGGGGCACTCTTGAAGGAGGCAGGGGTCCCTGGACGCCAGAGCGCTTCAGGCCCGCCTCGAGAGCCTGTCGGGGGGCTCCCGGCGTGGCCGCTCTGGAGGCGTTCTGGCGCGCTCCCTGGGAGCCCCCCCCCCGGGAGGCTTTTCGGGGCGCTTCTCGGGGCCCGCCCTGCAGATGCAGGGCTAGGCCGTCCGAGAGAACGAGGACGGAGAGAGTCAGCATGTGTTTCGCGTGCGGCTGGCCTCTCGGAGTCTGTCCGCAGGCCACCTTGTCGTTTGCTTGTCCGATCTGTGGGAGGGCGGGGGGCTCGTGCCCTGAGATCCAGGCGGGGTGTGTTCGCCCGGTTTCGGGCCCAGGGCGATCACCGATCGATCCGGCTCGAAAGTTGCCGCACATGGGTGGGGTCTAGGGCGTCTGTCGTGATTGCTCGCGATGCTGCATGTTTTCGCAACGTCGGATCCCAGGGTATGGGGGGCTTGAAGAGCCAGCTTGGGCCGACCAGGGGCCCAACAGATCCCGCTTTGGGCGCTCGTCGTGGCAGCTCCTAGGCATTCTTGAGATGCTCTGGCCCGTGCTGATCCCAGTCGAAGTCGCGGTGGGCTTGTCTTGGGGCGTCCAGGACCCGTCTTGGGGTTGGGGGGGCGGCTTTTGTGCCTCGGGCCCCGAGCCCCTGTCTGGGGACCGTCTTGGACTGCCCTGGTGCTCCCGAAGGCGCTCGGCAGGCAGGCGAGCAGAGCGGGCGGACATAGGTGCAGCCTGAAGCGCCGCGTGTTCCGGGTGTTGGCGAGGCTGGCCTCCCGGGCGCCTCTCGGGAAGGCTGGCGTCCTCCCAGGACCTGCTGATGGGCGCAGGGGCGAGCTGGAGAGGCCCGGCGGAGCTCGAGGGGCCCTGGGCTGGGGGCTGCGCCGTGGTCAGACCGACCAGGAATGTGCAGTGGAGACCCATGCCAAGAACCACCCTGCTTGCCTCCAGGGTGCCCTGGGTGTCTTCGGTTTCGATGATGGTTTTGCCATGGACAGCGTGACGTTCCCACCAAGAATCAATGGAAGGCATGGGGTCTCAGGGTTGGGTTTCTTGTGGAAGGTTACTGGTGGTCGAGCTCTTTCTGTACCCCCCACATGCCCCTACTGGATCCCAAGAGGACCCGAATACACACACACACTCACACACACACACACCACAACTTCCTGAGCTACCCAACAGGCTCGTCCCAGACCCACAGGGGACCCCACGACGTCCTCAAGGGTAATCCCAGACGGCGTCTGCAGGGTGTGCTGGTGCACCCCGAGTGCCCCATATGTTTCAGAATTTCCAGGAGAGACCAACGCGTCCTGAGACCGCATGAAGAGAGCTCCAAGCCAACTCCTACAGACCCAACCATGCCCCGGCAGAGCCCTAAAGACAGCTCAGACATAACTCCAAGCAGACCCTCAAGAGTGCCCCGACGGGGGATCCTCAGGCCCGAGTGGAGCATAAACGCGCGCACCACAGACGTGCACACGCATCGAGCATCGGATGGCATTCTTGCTCGGGGCGCAACAAGACGCTCGGCTTGATACTTTCCTTGCCCAAGCCTTTGCTGGTGAACAGCCTGTCACAAGCGAAGCCAGTAAGATGCGTGCACTTTGAGACGCGCGAGGAGTCACGCCGACTTGCTGCAATGACGGGGTAGATGGTGGCTCGTCGCATTGCAAGAAATGCGTTGCATAGTGCCTGAGAGTGTTTGTCTGTTTATGCCAAGTTGACCCAAATAGTTTGATTTGCCAAGTGCTTTTTTTCGAACTCCAATGTTCATGTCACACATTGCTGCACGTAGCTCACAACCATGTTCACTCCTGGACCACCCATTCATTATTGGAACGAGTTGGATCATGTTGGCCAATGTTGAGCATGTTGGCATCAGTGGGAAGAGTACGTGCTGCATCAAGAGGATCAGGAGCTGAATAATCACGTATGGTGGGGCATGGAGCTATGTGGAT